TCTCTCTCTCTCTCTCTCTCTCTCTCTCTCTCTCTCTCTCTCTCTCTCTCTCTCTCTCTCTCTTATGTAACTTTCTAATACTTGTGAAGGTCACTACTTAACAGATCTATTTGTTTGCTAATTATCAGCTATTAACGGCTCTTCTCACGTTTCTTCCATTTCCGCGATGTAGAAGTTAGCAAGATTTTCAAAAGTGGACTACTTTCAAAGTAAGGATTTTAATTTATACCAGTAACAAAATATATAAATATTTATTTTTATTTATACATCACCTACCTTAACTTGCTTGACTGCTTCCTCCGGTGGTAAATTTACCACACTGTTCATTTGGGTGTCTACCCAGGCCTTCACCGCGGCGCTAGAATCTCTGTATTGCTGCCAGAGCCTGCACGCGTGTTGATATCGGGTGCAAAGGGCATCCAATTCGGCCCTTGTGTCCTCCCAAGCCTGTACGGCCTCATTTACTGCGGCGTCGACCCTCTCGCGGACCTCTGCGGCGCAACTCTCCCGCAGAGGCTCGGCAGCGGCACGTAATTCGCCAATGAGAACTTCTCGAGCACCCAAATCGCCGTTCAAACCCTGCCGTTTCAAGAAAAAAATCGGAAAAAATATAATATATTGAAATATATATGTACTTATATTCAATATTTAGTATATAATCAATATTTGTACATAAACATTTTGCAAATATTAGAAATCAAACAGCTTATTGCTTTAATTAAATAAATTTGAGTTTTAATACAAAAAAATAGAACATTAAAATTGAAAGATAATGCTTATAAGTACATTTTTATGAAAATTATTATCCGTTACACTTATTCTTTAAATTAATATTATAATGTTGAATACTTTTTAAGAATTATTAAAGACGTTTCAAATCCTCATTCACAGAAAAGAAGGTAACAATAATTTGTTAAATATATTTTTCCATTAATCATTGATTTTTTTTTAAGGATACACTATATATAACGAAAAAGAGATTGAACTTATTTTTTCACAGATTGAAACCTTGCAATGTTTGTCTATTTTTATCCAACGTTGCTATTTCAATTTTAAGAATTTTGCCTGTATGGACTTTGCGTCAGACAATTCAAAGAAAGCGCCGGTTTTACTTAAAACACGCTATAAATAAATTTGCGGCACGAGACTAGCACATTTGGAGAGTTACATGAATTCGGTCAGAACATGGTTGAACTAATTTTATGTCGTGTACTCTAGTTCATTCACCTCTTGAATTTTCCAAGAAAAGGCACACGCAAGTGCATTATCTTATTATCAAGAGAGAATATTAATTTTTATCAAATACCAAAATCTATACTATCACGTAAAGAAATAAACTTTAAAAAAAATTTCCTTAAAAAGAGTTATTCGATCATACAAATAATTTATGTGAGGAATTTACGACTGATACTTTACTGTGTTTTATTTGTCTTTATGCATTGTACGTCAAAGTAGATTAATATTAATTATCAATCAATGTTGAAGAATATTTTGACGTTTAGAAATTCTGGTGAGTCGCGAAGATAAATTGATAGACAGTATACTGGAAGAGGAAATCATAAATATATGTTTGAACAGCCACGACGCTCCTATAGACATACGTTTCTCCACGTGCCATAGTTTACATACCGCGTTATGATATAATGTTAATGACTATAATCATTTATATCATCTTTTGTATTTTAATTGTTTTTAAAGTGATGAGTTCTAGTCATCATTGATATATAGTGCACGCTATATTTATTGCGAGATAGAATTTTCAAATACGCATCATCTAAGATGGTACATTTATTATGTCATTTCAAGATTCTAGAGATTACAAAGATTATTCGTGAATCTCGTAAAAAATAACATTTGACTCATTTATATCGCTAGTCAGTTGAAATTGATTGTATTTTACAAACAAAAAACACCTCACGTTTGCAATTATAATATTATCATTGCGCCAATTATAATGCAATTCATTGCATTTTATATATTCGATATTGATTTATTCTTCGCTCAATGAATCGCGTAAATTCTATCGCCTAAAGTTACTTATTTCGATCGATTTCTATCATGTTTAATTATTGCGTTTATGTTACGCGTGTAATTGTATGAGTGATCGTAGATATATTATGATGTATAATTATATGCGAAGAAATCATGATAATAACTATACTGTACACTTTTATTTAGTATAATAACGTTTATATATCTCGCTCAATGAAACGAGAAATTGCGAGACATTCTTTGCTTTACATATACTATCTCGTTACAGACGACCTGTTGCTTGTAACGACTTCACGCCTGGCATAATATATGCTGATTTAATACTCATCGATGGCTAACGGTGTGTGCATAGACTTGCTTCTTATGTCTCGATGCCATGATGCGTAACGGTCTCATTTGCAGAAAAGAAGAAGAGAAACACGATGATTCGGCGGAAATAAATCCTTACGAAATCATTTTCTCATATACGCATTCACATATTCGCAGAGAGTTAATCGATCATCCCCGGAAAGAAATATTAATAACGATCTTGAGCGCCGAGAAATCAAGAACTTTTTCCGAGCTATTTTTTATTAAAGCTGTATATCACATGCACTGATCGGTTCTCGTATTTATAATAAAGTCGACTGCGAATGTTGTAAAGAGTTCATACAAAAGAACCTATGCAGTTCACGCGACTACAAAATGATTAAGGCCCGGTTCCAACAATGTAATATTAACTTTTACCTCGGTTTAATTTATTCTTTATTTTTTTTTCTAATTTTAAGAATTAGAAAGAGAATGAATATTAATTCTAAGAAAAAGATAAACAGTAGAATTAGAAAAAGATAAAGAAAAGAATTAGAAGAATTAGAATAAAAAAATTAGAAAAAGATAAATCGAAATTAAAGTTAATCTTACATTGATGAAACTGTGCCTAAGCGGTATATTATAAAAACGATACAAAGTAATAATTCTTAAGAAGGAATGTCATATATGCCGTAGCAATAAATTATTTTTTTAATGTAAATTTCCGTAGAATAATTAATCGTTTCGTATTTTTTTTATCAACACATGCAACGCGCGGTGTCGAAAGGATAGCGACGTTTATGTCCCGCACAAATGTACATCCGGTTTCCTTTTGCAGATAACGCATGAATACGCTTATTTCACGGCGATGAAGCGTTTAAAAAAAAAACCTCATCATTCGAGCTATCAAGCATGCGAGTTATTCACTTTCGATTTCGTTTTAGATAGAAATGTAGTTAATTTCAACGAATTTTATCAACGTTTATGTTTGCGATGATTGTTATTGAAAACTTACTAAGTCATCACTAACAAGTGTTTAACTTCAATGTCACAATAACTTTCTATTAAAACGCGAAACTCCGGAAATTCTGTTCCAAATATTCTTCATGCAATTCGGAGTTCGACACGTGACACGCGGAGCGGAAACGCGACCGCACCATTCAAGAAAACACTCACCGTCCGCGAGCGGGGCGATGTTACCTTGAGGCTATTTATTGTGCTTCGTCTTCGTCGTGGAATTCCAGCGTCGAAGAGTCGCGCCGGTTCATAAAGAACTGCCTCATTCGATTCGCGTTTATCTCTCGGCCACGACCGAGCGATAATGCAGGTCGCAACGCAATAAAGTATTTCGAAAGATATCAACGAGTTTGTGGATATTCTCGGCAGCGACATAAACGTGACCACGGATCCCGCGGCACTGATAGGCACTGCGGTAGCGTACGATAACGTGACTCTAAGCCGCGAAAATATGCGAGAGCGGGAACATGACGCCTGCGCGCGTTGAGAAACGCGACGTTCTTGTAACACGTGTGTACATTTTGAATCACTGATAAAATCGGCTTATATTTATAATCGGATTCGTTCGATGATGTCATAGTATTGTACGGTAAAAAGTTTTAACTAATCATTTGTAAGCTAGAAAAGTTAGTTGAAAATTTCGAGATTACGATCTATTTAAATTTTCTTGTCCAACTTAAATATACATTTTCCTAATTAGTATCCATTCGTGGCGAATAATAAATAATTATAATGAATTTGTTGATATTCCAAATAAAGTCATTAAAAGTCAATGATAATTTCATTGCTCAATATTATTATCATGAATAAACTTGCTATACTTTAGCGTAAACTGATATAACGTAAAGAAAAAATAACTCACCTCGAGGCGCTCCGTGGCCTTCAGCAATCTGTCGTAATCAACGGAGTCTTGGACGGTTAATAGTTCCATCATATAATCTGCTTCTTGAACGGATTGTTGCACCATTTCCAGCTGCCTCTCGAATCGTCGCCATAACTCCAATCTATTCGTTAGCAACGAAAGCAGATGCGCGCATCTGGATTCAAGTTCGGTGTGTACATCCTGTATATTAGACAAGTCTCTTTCTATGCCCACTGGCGACACTGTCACTCTCATGCCGGTTGGTAAATTATGCAGCATCTGTCTTAATGCCATTAGATCTTGCCAAAGGACAGCTAATTCGTTGGCGACAGATTGACAACGATCTACAGCTGCGGCTACCAGATCGCTTTCTTGTCTTTCGCTACCTTCGCATTGATCCAATATCATCGATAATCTTTTGTGAGCCTTCCTAAAGCGACTTAATCCACGTTGAAGAGTCTGAATCTTTTCTCTGAGTAGCTGTGCCGAATCTAGTTCTTCGCTTATCTGCCCTTCTACGCAACGCGCCGATGATAATAAAATTCCGACTCTTTCGCTCTCCGCCGCTGGTAAAAGACCTAATCTACCTATCTCGTTCTGAATTAAAGAGATTCTTTCGAACAATATAGTGAGTCTTTCGACATATAGATCTAGTTCTTCTTCTGTTTTCAGCACTCCATGGAAACTATTGATGGTCATTCGTAACTCATTTAGTTCCTTCTCGAGTAATTTTAGTTTCTCATTCGACGAGATCTCGTCCGAGGAAATGCTGCGAGTGACATCTTTTTGAATTTCGTTGATCTTATTACTAACCTCATTCCAACGACCCTGCAACTCGTAGTGAAACTGTCGCTGCAACATTTCGTCCGACAGAGGTATAATTCGTAGAGCTTGCTCGAAGTAATTGTCTGCTTCGTTACGCATGTTGTTGTGAACCTCATATTGTGCTTTTAATTCCTGCAAGCGTAAAAAGATCGCTATAGAATTTATGTTTAATTACTTATGTAGTTATATCGAAAATTATAGCCGTATAGAAATAAAACATCAGTTCTTTCTTGCAATATGCATTTGAATTGTAGAAATCCGGAATACATTACATTATAATTGCAGACCATAATTTTTGTTATAAAAAATGGATGACGCAATGATGATGATAAAAATGAAGCTAATACGTTACGTAATCCACTTTTCGTTCTCCAATTTTAATCGGACTAAAAATACGGCTCGCGTGAAAGAGAAGACATGTGCTTTCGATGGCACAAGGCCAAATGTGTTGGAAAAATGTGACCTAAATGCGTGTACAAATACAGCTCACATCGCTAAATATTTTTATTAAATTACTAACAAGTTAAATATATTTAACAAAAATCTAGACATAGATCGAAAGAATGCTTACCCAGAATTGACGCATAGAACTTCCTGATGGATCATGTAATGTAGCAAGTTCCTTCTCGGCCATTGTTATCCAATGTTCTACGCGGTTTGTTAGTATCTCTTGATTGTTCCAACTCTCTCTAAAAGCCAATAGTCTTTTTAGAGAGGATTCGATATTGTCTTGCAGTTTGACGATCACGTCTAGAGCTTCACTATATCGATCAGGATCCTCGATGTCGATAAGATCAAGGAGGCTACGTGCCACACCGAGTAAATGAATTAATCGTGCATGATGAGTTGCTACATCCAATGATAGAGACTGAAATGTGACAAATTAATTATTAAAATTAAATACGGGACGTTCATACATCACAAATTAATATTTGTAAGCCTTAATATAATAGTATTAATATAATTACTAACTTGATATAAAGAAATGTATTGATCGTAGTCAGTCGAAGTCACCGTTTGAAGATCAGGAACTCGTTGATGTGCAACCTGGAGCCATCCTCTTTCTTCTTTTACACCCTGCTCGAGTAGCATCCATCGCGATGCCGCCAAAGCCATTTGTTGCGCTCTTGAAGCTGCTTGATCGAGCAGCGCTGTTGCTTTACTATGTAGTTCTTCGTGCAAACCAGAGTGTTTGGCTCTAGTTTCAGAATCTAGATTACCTTCCAATGATTCGAGAATTGCGCGACAGTGGTTCAGATTGACGAAAAATTTTCTGTGCTTCTGCATCTCTTCCTGAAGATGTTCCAGGCTTACTACGGATATCGGACTGTCCAGCAAATTTTCAGCGATTTCGATAATTTGCGCAAATTCCTGAAGAGTTTGCTCATATTCTTCGGCTAAAGCAAGCAATTGGAGAAGACGTTCTCGTTCGATACATATACCATGTTCGATGATCTTTGTCATCTCATGCGCTGCGTAGATTTCTTCAGGTATAATCTTGCCGGGATGATCACGCAGTAATTCTTGAACAGCATCGAGAAGACTACTTGTCTTCCACATATGACAGCAATTGGTATTGTCTAATTTATCGAGTTCCTGTAATTTCCATTGTGTGGAATACTCGCTTTCGATTATGTAATCGAGCTCTTTACGTTGTTCTTCGACTAATCTGTAACAAGAATTTATTTTATTTCCTTTTTTCATAGAAAAAAAGGAAATTAATGATTAAACTAAAATTATATTTATTTTTTATCATTTCTACTTTTATTTTTGGTTTTAATGAAATATATTAAAAGATACACTACAAAAATTTATTAAACAAATATTTATTAATATTTTTATGTAGTATCTTACCTATATATGTTATTAATGCTATTTAGAAATTCATCCCATCGTGCGAGTTGTTTATTAGCGTGTTTCTCTCCGTCAGTAATAACATGCTCGATAATTTTCACCTGATGCTCAAGGGCGTCTACACATTCTCGTAATTTCTCCCATTCCTCTTTCGGATAGCTTGTCTCTAATTGCTTCCAAATATTATCGAGCTCACGGACACTTTCTTCTACATTATTCACCTCATCTTTCAATTCAATGAACGTTCTGGCATCCTCGTCAGAAGGTCCAGTCGGACATTCTCTGTTTAAGAAGATTCGATATTCAATGGTTTCTAGCCAAGTTGAGATTGTTTCGACAACGGTAACGAGAGTTTCTTCGACGACTATGACATCGTTTTCTTGAACAGCATTTTTTAATTGCGCCAGTTCTCTGCGAACATCCGACGAGCGCTCCTCCGCGAGTCTTTCTGTGGTGACTTCTTCTAGATGTGCGATATGCAAGATGTTACCTAAATGACTCGATTCATTAGTATTCTGTAGATTCTTTACTCGGTCAGTTATTATTTTAGCTGCTTGCATTGTTTGCGTTCCTTGATGTTGCGGTTTAGCGCTATATCCTAAAGATTCCTTTAAAAGGAAAGCCGCAGATAATGCTTGAGGAGACGATACTTGAATAACGGATTCTTTCCACAATTGCGGTTCTTTCTTTTCGTATATTTCTGCTGGTGTTTCAGATATTACTTCGGCGTATGTCTTGATTTCCGTTCGCAATGGTTTAATATTTTCTTTATTCAAAATAGGTTGCTCGATTTCTATGGGCGTTAGCGGCTCTTCAGTAGTATCCATTGGTTCGGGCGACAACTGCGTAGATACGAATGGTTTTTGATCCGACGATATTAACAATGGTTCTACTATCGGTCTATTAAGCGCAAATGTTTTTCGCATTGTTGCTACTTCAGGTACTATTGTTTCTGGAATGTTATTCGACTCGATTACAGATGGATCACTCATTGATGCAGGTACTACTTCCGAGGTAGTTGAAATATCCAAAGATGTTTCTTGAATACCTTCTTCACGTCGATTAATTTTTTCTATCATAGTTTTTAATGCAGTGTTTTCCAATTTCACATCTGGTTCGATCTGTGATGTTATCTGAGAAGGATATTCGGATGCCACTTGCTCCAATATATCATCATTTTCCATCGGAGATTGTCTGTTGGTATGCTGTTTAGCAACATCGCAGTAAGACAATTCTGCGACAGTATCTTGAGATTCCATGGATTGTCTAAATGCGGATTCAAGCTCTGACTTATCCTTGCTCGGTATGATTTCCATGATTTTATGCTTTCTTTTTCTTTTTTGCCGTTTCGATACCTTATTATCATGTTCCGCGATTATGTCATTATTGAGATCTTCAGCAATCGTGGTATCTTGCGAAGTATCGGTCGTTTCTTTGCTAACAGATGCAACACTATCGAGTGTATCACTGGCGGATAGTTCTATAGTCGCGTGAACATGGATTTCAAATGACGTATCCGAAGTATTATCCTTTTCTGACATGGAAGATGGCGTAGATTCTTTTGTTTTTGTAATAATCTCCATTGGTTTTGGATGTTCTACCATCATAGATATTTCAGAAAATTCATGTTTTGTTTCTTTTTCGACGGGAGTATTCATCTGTACGATATTTTCTAGGATCGTTGTAGGAATCTCTGATATCAGCTTATTCACGATTTCTACTTCTTTTACTTCCTCTACGGATTTCACAATTTCTGGTACTTGTACATCAGGTGCTGCTGGAGTTTTTTCTAAATCTATTTTTTCTTTCTTCTTCATCTCTTCATAGGTAATTGGAACGGGCATTTTGCTCAGATCTTCTGTTTCAACTATTCCTGTTTTAAAATCTTCCGTAGATACTTCAACAGTATGAGTAGGAACATATGTTGTCTGTTGAGATACTGAGATTGTCTCAATTGGTTGTTTCTCTTCTTTTGGTGTTTGTGAGCTGATCTCACGCACTTCGGGAATATTTTGTACACTTTCTTCAATTTGTGGTATCAATTCTTTTGTCTTTATTTGCACCGAACTATCAGAAGTTTCAGTTTTCTTTGGACTGATTTCTGATGTCTGTGATTCTTCTTCTATAGTTTGTTTCATATCTTCAATGCTAGTTTGAGCAGATTCTTCGCACACTTGTGTAGGTTCCGGACTAACTATAGTTGGACTTGTTTGCATCATAGTCTCTTTGGTTTGCTCAGGTGATTTTGTTTGCATTTCAGATTCCTGCAACTCCACTTTTCGAGGACTCTCTTCAGGCGTCGTTTGTGTTTCTGTCGTTTCAGCAGGAACTTCTGGCTCTGCGATTGTTTGAGTATCTGTATGCGAAACATCTAGTTGTTCTGGACTAATCGGGGCACTTGTTTGCATATCTCTTTCGAAAAATTCTGGCACTTCAGACAACGTTTGAATAGAAATTTCTTGCATAATAATTTTCTCTGCTACTAGTGGTGGAGTAGTCTGTTGCTCGACTTCTGTTACAATATTTATTGCTGTTTGAGTTTCAGTCGCTATCATTGAAGATAATTCAACAGGTGAAGTTTGTATTTCCATGGAGTGAACATCAATTTTAGTCGTCTGTGCTTGAAAATCTTCCGTTTCCACTGAGGCAGGAATAATATCTTCTATTGGACTAGTTTGAATAGCGAACTCTTCCATTGGCGTCGCCGTGGGTGTCATAGTTTGTACACCTGAATCTTCTACTTCCGGTGTTTCTTCCGCGATAGTTTGCGCGCTGAAATCAAGCCCGGGTTCTAAAAAAGTTTGCGTCTCCATATGAATCTCTTCAGTTTTAGCTGTTTGTATTTCTTCTTCCAAAGTGATCGGTATCGGCTCAGGAGAGGTTTGCATGAACGTAGAAAGACTTTCCTCTTCTTTTGGAGTAAGCGAAGTCGATACATCACACGTTTCTACAGCTGTTTGAGTATTCGCGTCATCTAACGTAGTTTCACGTTTATTTTCTTGTTGTATTGTTTCGACTTTAATTTCTTTTGCCTCATCTTCTGGCTTCGTTGTATCTTCTTTCATTTTTTCTTCTTCTATAATTCGACCATCTTTTTCTATTGTGATGTCCTCTTTTGTCTTATCCTCTGCGGTCATGTCTTTTACTTCAGAAATTTCTAAAGGAAGACTATTGTCTGTGAACGCCGCATCATCACTACTAGTCTTGGGCATATAAGTCAAATCTTCATCTTGAAGTGGCCGAACTTTTTGTTTCTTCTTCTTTTTCCTTTTCTTCTTTATGCCATCTTCATTTTCCACCGCAATCGACAATTCATCCATAGTTTTATCGTCCAGTTGATATCCGTCGTTCTCTGCCACAATGCTGTCATCTAAGCTTAGAGAAGATTCGGACTTGATAATATCTGCGACGTCCGGTTGTGGTTGCTCACTAGCATGTTTGGATGAATCAGATGATGGAATATTGATCTCCATAGATTCGGCAATTGATGTAGCAATGGAAGTGCTAGAATCTGTTTCTGCTGGTTTTTCCAAGGATTCTGATTCATCCTTGTATCGTTTCTTTTTTCTACTTTTATGACTTGTAATATCCGATTTACTCTTTTCTGATGATTCGATGTAAACATCGACTTCTTTTTCTGCAGTACTTAATTGTAAGGTTTCTGTTTCTTTTTCAGCAGTGAGAAAGGCGGTAGTCTGTACAATTTTATCATATATCACTTCTGTCGTTTCCTTGTCCGCTGGAAGATTAATATCTACATCTTCTTTAACGATGCTATACGGGGCAATTTCGGGCCGTTCTGCCTGAGTTTTGATGGAAACTAATGGTTCCACTTCTTCATCTTCTTTACGCACCGACAGAGATATTTCAACCTTATGAAACATCGGTTTGTATTCTGGTTTGAATGCTTCATCCCTAGAGTTATCTTTTTCCTCACTTATGAACAATTCTGGTGATATTTGTCGTTCTTTGGAAGATATTTCCGCATCTTTCAATTTTGAAGTAAGTTTTTCCGCATTTTTGTCAGATTCAGAAATATCTAACTTACTTGTTAAAGCAATCGATCTGTTTCCTAGCTCCAATTTTTGAAGTGATGTTAAAGTTGTAACTTCTTTAGATGATTCGAGAGAGACTTTTCTTTTCGATTCTTCTTTTTCAGCATATTCTTTCTCTAATACAACATTCAATACATCGATATTTTTATCTGCTTCTACAGTGCTGCTATCATCATGGTGCGTCTCTACTTCTACCGTGCCATTTTCTAGCTCGATACTGAGTGTTTCGCTCTTTACTGGTGCATCGTCAGACTTACAAGTAGCCTTGGTGACCACTGGTTCATCATCTGTTACGGCCGGCTCTAATGGAAATTTTACAGATTCCGATTGTACCGTTACAATATCTTCAACAGGAGTCTGCAAAACAGCAGATCGTTCAGCAACGATTAGCGCTTGATTATCGATCGCAAGTGTACTTGTGCCATTTACCTCGGTAGGAAAGTGTTTGTATTCTTGTTTATCCATCATTTGTGATTTAATTTCTGTTTGTGCTATATTTTCGTCACTTTGTACAGTAGAAATATCTTCATCAGCTTGAATGCTTATCAAATTTTCATCTTGTATTATATGCTCTTTCAAAGAAGAGAGCACTGCAATTTGTGTAGAATCCGTTAATTTTATCTTAGAATCAGCTATGTCCGTTGTAGAGTCTGCTATTTTTATCGTAGGTTCTTCTAACAATGTAATTTCTTTTTTGCGATTTTCAGTATCCAATGTTTTGATTTTCAAGATGTCATCTTCTTCCGCAATTGTTACTGAAGTTTTTGTGATTTCCTCTGCTTTATCTCGATATACGCTCGTTATATCTTTAGCAAATGGTCCAAAAAATGGTCCTTGCATCGGAGTTTCGGAGATATAAGATTCCATTGACATCTCTGATGCTTCCCGTTGCTCTATTGCCTTTTCCACTGGGAAAATCTTTTGATCTTCGCTCTTAACTACGTTGATGCTGATATGTGGTATATCCTGCTCATCTATTTCTACTTCTTCAGGTTCTTCGATTACCTCTTCAGTAGTGGTCTCTTTACCATCTACGATGATAACTTTTCGGATGATTTTACGCGTTCGCTTAATCACCCGTCTTGTGACTTGTTGCACCACAGCATGAACGCTTGATGTCCTCGTTTGATACTCACCACCCTCCATCAGTATCTCCTCTTCGACAGGCTGACAGCTGATATCTCCTATCTGACCTTGCGTCACCATGCGCGTGTAACGGGGTTCGGATTCATATTCCTCTACATTGATACCTTCGACGGGGGCGCTTGTAGTAACTTTGCCGCCGTAAATCTGCCTTGTCGTAGTCTCGATAGTCCCATCTGGTCTTGTTCTGGTCATGGTGACTTGTTGATCTCTCATCGCAGCTTCTGAGAAAGCTTGCATCATCGTTGGCGTATCTCCGACTGCTGTCGACATTGTGGACACGCGCTGTTGTGTGGTTTGCTTGCTGGTGACTGTACGTCGTAACTTTCTTACGATTATTCTCTTGGTGCCATCAGCGTCGACGACTACTTCGGTAGTGATGTCGTCTGGTTCGACCAAAATCGTCTCAAACGACTGTGGTGCAGCGTGGACAATGTTTAATTCGCTCGTTGCACTATCGGTCTTCGCGTCTTGATACTTCATATCGACAACGATATCTTCGCTGGATAGAATGCTGGATTGTTCCCGACGCGCTATTTCTTGACTAGAACTAGACGGTACGAATTTGGTCGCTATTTCGATTACATCATGATCGCCTGTTGTAGTTTTTAAAACCTTTATAGCTTCCTGCGTTTGAGCACTCTCGCTCGGCAATAAATCTTGTGATGTCTGCGTGGTGAGAGAATGGCACGTGGTTGACGGCGGCATCTGCGTTGTAGACGTCTGTTTTGTGAGTTGTGCTTTTCTTGCGACAACGTCGTCGATTAGTAAACTTTGACCTGTCTGTAAAGAAACATCAGCCAAAGATGGCGAACCGCCTTCTATGGAAGAATGAATTGAGGGTGCTTCATCCAAAGTAGCATTATCTCTCTCTGTCGATTCATCGTCAGCTTGAGCTTCCTCATCACAGATCTCCTACGAGGATAACAATTTTGTTGAAATAATACACTAATATATATTTGCGGCATTATATATAGTATATTATATTTAGTTTAGATATTTATTGCAAAGATATTTGTATCTATTTCTGTATATATTTCGAACTAATGAATACGTTTTTATATTTAAAATTATTGTTAATTATTTTAATTGTGAAAAATAAATGAAATATTAGATTTATTTTTTCTTTTTGTTACGGATTAAAACAGAAACTGAGACTGATAATATTCAAACTGGAATTTATTTAATTAGTAGAGTAACAATGGATAATAATCGTTTATCTAACACAAATTATTTCTGATAATACTTCTATCTAGTTTTTGTTATAAGAAACTATTTGCAACATGTTATAGCTTGTGATAATTAAATTACATATAACTATATATAAACTGTAACGTAGAAAAAAATTCAATTATATTTTTATAATAATAAATAAAGTTAATTATCACTAGATATTGACACATTGCAATTAGATGATTTATAATATGAAAATAGTATGAATAATATTCAATCATATAAAAATAATATGAATAATATATGCACACATTTTAAAACAGTTTAGTTTAACGGTTTTATCTATCAGTATGTCGTATATATACATACTTAGAAATTATTATTTACGCGATATTATTTACATTATTTATGCCGAACTAAATATGATACATAACTATCATATTTAACGTACAATAAAAGGAAGAGGGACAGGTATTAATGAGAATTTTCTTTAATTACATGAAATATTACAGCAATGTATTAACATTCCTTGATTACATGCAATGCCTATATTACATCCATCACCTTAAGATAAACGAAAATACATAATAATCACATGATATAAATAATGTACAATGAACTAAATAAGTAACATACGGTGCATGATATCTATAATGAAACGATGTGCATGATGAGAAGCGCATGTGTTTGTAGCAACGATGATGAAGATAAAAGAAAAAAAATATTCTCAAAATAATGTTTTGTACAATTAAACGATTTATATTCGTATAAGCATGCAAAAATGAAATTGTTTTATTAACCTTGACTAGAATGTCTATTGCCGATATTGCCGAGTTGCATTATATTTATTGCCGCTTATTACAAAGCGTTCATTATCATCTAATTGACGTATATTACACGTTGTTTCCGGAATGACTATCCAAATTCAAAGGCACTATTTCAGACTCTTAAAGACTCAAGAGACTAAATAGTTTTGTAGATTTATGTTTATGTGAAAACAGGAAACATTAAATTTTATATGACTATCCAATTAATTTTATCCGTTACTTATAATTTTTTATCCGCTCTACAAAGCTTATTAGCTTTGTAATAATTGCAAGTTGCAAGCTTTTTATTTTCTATTCCCAGTATAGCGAAGCTTTGACAAGTTCCAAAAATTATTTTTCTGTTTAAAAATTTATTTTTCCGAATTCTTTGTAATATCGCTTTAAGCAACCGAGCCACCATGAAGAGTAGTGATATTTGCGAAAGCCCCCGAAGCGTTGGATACCTGCTGCTTTCGTTGGAGACGGTCAATTACGTCCAAGAGGGCTTCCTTCAACGCTATTGCTAGCGCGCTCACTTCCGGCAATGATTCGAGTTCTGAGACTTGATGTGCACGACTCGTTAATTCTTCCTGTAAAGCCTGCCCGTTGATAAGTAAAAAAATCGGCATTATTTTGCGTAAAGAATAATATATACAATTACTTAATAAAATTAACTCTCGATCACATTAAACCGATATTTATACATCTAACATAAAACTACTATGATTTATGATTAGAAATAAGAAGAATAAGAATTTGATTTTTTTAAGAAAAAGAATACGTATTTAATTTAATCATTTTTCAAAGTTTTAAAAATTGTTGAATAAAATATAAAAGTCCAAAATAGCAGATTTAATATAGCGAACGCAAAAAGTAAAATATCTTCAAATAATCTTCTATTAAAAAAAGTTTATATTGAAACAGACCTTGCTGGTATTAATTGAATGTTGCTCATGCAATTTTGATACAACATTTCTTAACCAAGTATCTGTCTCTTCAAGGAATAATTTATAAGTATGAATCTCTTGGCCACGTTTCTCTCGAATTTCTCGTGCTTGTTCCAGAGCTGTCCTCCCTTGTTCTGCTTGATTGAGAAGGGAAGTGACGCGTGTATGAATTCCCGTTAAAGCTACCGAGAGTTTTTGAGATTCAATATCGGCAGGAATTTCTTGTAATCGCTTTTGAAGTTGCATAGCATCCTCATCGTAGGCGCGAAGCTCCATTAATATAGTCTAAAAAAGTTAGAGAAAATTCTTTGAATCGTCTTTTCCGATATATTTTTGTATAAGAAATCTGTATAAGAAAATTAATCTACTAGAATGATAACATGAATTTAATAGAAATTTTTAAAATTTTCTTATTTTTAACTTGCTTTAATTTTATTAAATTTTTAATGATTATATAATTTTTTTTCGTTTATTTAACATTCTTACCATAAGAGATGAAAGCATAGACTCTATACTATCTCGAGGCAAATAGCTCATCGTTCCTTCGAGATTCAAAAGTCTTGCTTGTAAAGAAGCGAGGCCTTCTTCAATATCCTAAAACATAAACGATTATTAGCAATTTTATCGTCAATTACGAGATTTATCACTACTTCAATCATGCCGTGCACACGACGGAATTTAATCAATTTTCACGCTGAATATTAATCCTATTAAATGAAAAAAACTCTTAAAACCTGTAAAAAAAGATGTTATCTGATGTTATAAAATGGCATATTGCAAAATACAATAAAAGCACAATGATGAAGATAATTCCTTCAGTTCTGTTATGGAAACACTTGTTGCTATGTATAAAGAGATAAATCCTCATCATGCAAATTGTCAGTACATTTCGGGATATCTCGTTAAGCAGTCCGAATGCAAAGACCTGTCACGTAAAGTTGCCAGCAATCAAAAGTAAAAAAAATCAGGAACACTGCGTATTAATTTATATTTTTCATGAGTGATTTTCAATTATTCTACATGAATTATTTTGTTGATATTTGATATTATCACTCATTTATCAATATATTTATCAATATATTACAAATTATGTAGACATATATGTATGTATATTGATACTTAGTAAGCGTAATATATATAATAGGCTATTTAAATAACAATATGTGTATGTGTGTGTGTGTGTGTGTGTGTGAATTTATATATATACACACACACGCACGCGCGCGCGCGCGCGCGCACACACACACACATACACACACAAAGCACATATTATAAGCGGAATAAACATGCAAGTACTACAAACTATATTTTAAAAGGAAGTTCATATTATCGCTATTTCATGCATATGACATATACTAATTAATTTCATTTTGTTAAATGTATTCATAAAAAATTAAAATGTTTTGTGAGATTAGGACAAGTTTATAACAATAAATAATAATTTGATAATAACGAGTAGGCAGAGCAGCAATAACGATATATTTATACATGTATGTATGGGTTGTAATTGATGACACAAGAAAATCACACACATTGGATTCAGTATCGAACAAGTAAAAAGAAAACGTAGTCGTTTTATAAAATGAGAGACAGAGAGAGCGAAAAACCAGTGGTAGACAATCCAGATAACTAAATACAAAACAAATACACGTATATATACATATAGATGTATATATACATATAGCAGCGGACTTGGTTCAAATTTGAGCTAGAACAAGACCGAGCACTGGCTGTGACGGTGATCGCACCTGGATCCTGCGTATCCTTTCAGCCTCGCCTTTAGCCGTCTCTCTCTCCACCTCCCCGTTCGGGCTGCACCGTTGCACGGATCCCTCCCTCGTCTCTTTACCTAAATGCAGTTTGGATTGTGGAAGGTGGGTAAAGGTCGATGATTTGGTGCAAGTGCTAGGATCATTGGAACTTCGGAAACTATTCGAAGAAGAGACAGGATATTCCCTCGGTGTTATTTCGACGTTTGCAAGAGATTCCATGCACGATTCAGTCTGCGGACCCTGGGAGGGAAGGGATGATGACTGGATTTTGTTTGGCAACGAATTATCCAAAGATAAATCCGAATGTAATGTTGGATCCTCGATCGTGCCGAGTAGTAGATTGTGATCCATTGTCCGCTCACTCTCGCTCGATAGATAAGTGCTATAGTCGCTCCAGCTACATATGCCACCGGGTAGATCGGCTATCATACGCTCTGTCTGAGGTGTACCCAGAAGAGAACATGAGTTTCCACAAGAATCCCATGACCTACTACCACCGCTACCACCGCCCGAATTGTCGTCGTCGTGATCTTGAGGACGATCGTCGGAATCACGTTTACTATTATGTGAGAGATTTTTTTTTGTATGTAAGGCTAAGTTCTCGAAATGATCACGCTCAGCTTCGTGATAGGGTCGTTTGTCAGGCCAAAAACCATCATCAATGGACAGGAACCATGAATTAATTGTACACGAATCAGTTGTACACGAATCAGATTGTTCTTGCAAGAAGGATGTTGATGGAACGTGTTTTCGTCGATCAGGAGTCAGAACTAAGATCTCGTCCGCTATATAGAATTGGACTTTAGATTTGGATGGCTCAACTAAAATATTAGAATTTTCTTGTTCGGTACTTGCAATGCGTTTCAATTTATCCTCGTCTTCGAACTGTTGCACAGTTGAAGATAATTTATTTGACGGTAGAGAATGTTTTATAGCTGTATTTACCGAGTCACACGGTAACTCCTTTTGCATGCAAATATGATTAACTGGAGTTTCTGTTTCAATTTCATCATTTATTTTATCTGATATCAATACCGATTCTATTTTGGTACTATCATTATTAATTGTAATATCATGTAATTTCAAAATATTGTCAGATTTAGATAAACAAATATTGTTAGATTCTTCTGTTTGAGGCAAGTCAATTTCAGTTTTTTCTGTCATAATATCCTTGAGTACTTCTTGGGCTTCAAGAATATTTTCTTTTAATTCTTTAATGTCTTCTTGCTTAATTGTTTCCGTGGCAATAGAGAAATGATCTTTGGTAATTACATTTTTTGGAGGTTGTAAAATTTCAACTATTTCATCGTTTAATATTTGATCTTTGATATTTTCTTCCTTAGTTTGCGTAATGTCGCATATTTCTATGTCTTTAGATAAATTTACTTCAGTGTTTTCTACAATGGATAGAGTTTCAATTTCCTTAGGCTCAGTTATAAATGTAGTTGTAAAATTTTGAGACTTAGTTTTATCGTCTTGTTGTTGTTTCTCTTTTTTCGATTTGGGTTTGCTTTTAGTTTTTTGGTTGTCTTTTAGCGAAGTTATATGTGGAAGTGAGGTTTCATTTACAGTTTCGAATTTCTCCAAAGGTTTCTCAATTTCTTCTCTTTGTACAGATTGTATCTCAATTATTGACTCATCATCTATTTTATCTTTTGATGATGCGCTTTCTTTTATTTTAATGTTTTCAATAGTATTTATATCTTCAGATAAATCAGTAAATTTGCTCTGGGCTATTTTTACTTTTTTCTTCTGTCTACGTTTTTCTGCTTTTGTGAATTTAGGAATTTCTTTTTCTTCCGTAATATTTTTTTCTATTTTTTCTAAATAAGATTTTGTATGTATCTCTGTATTTTTCGATTCGTCATCTATCATTTTCTGTTCAATACTTTCTTTTTCTGTAGTTTTCTTTTCTGTAGGAATCATAACTTGTTTAATATTTTCTTGTCTTTTAATTTTTTCTGCTGGAATTTCTTCATTTTCTGGATACGTAAGTATATTGCATGTCATATCTATAGTAACTGCTTCAAGTTTTACTTCATCTAATTTTGGTTCTAGTGGCAATTCTGTTTTCTTCTTTAAATCTTCAGCTATAGCTGTCTTTTTGTCTATATCAAAAGTACTTTCACTCAGTTCAATTACAAATTTTCTCTTTTTATTTTTCTTCTTTTTAGATTTCGTAATATCTTGATTTATAATTGGAAGTGCTATATCCTTGCATTTATTCTCTTGCGCATGCTCTGTATCTTTAATTAATTCTATTTCTTTTATTGATTGATCTTTAATATTTTCTGATTGGATCTTATTATATTCTGTTTTGTTTTCATTTGCAGATTTATCTTCTCTCGGTTTTTCGATATGTTTTAATTCTTTGTGTTCATTAACTTCAGATTGTTGTTTCATATAATCTTTACCAGCTTTATTTTTTGATTTAATCTTTTTACCTTTAAGTGTTGCGCTTGGTTTTGATTCTTGAATAATTTTATTCTCAATATGACTTTTATTTTCTGCAAATTGCATTGTGTTTTCATTCGAATCATTTTTCTGTTTGTCTTTATCTCTGCTTTTAGATGATTTGGCATTTTCTTCTTTCATAATCTTTGTTAATTCGTCGTTCTCATCAACTGTTCTCTGTTCATTTTCAGTTTTTTGTACAGATTGCTTAATTTTATTTTCAATTTCTTCTTTAGCTTTAATATCTTTACTATTTTCAGATTTTATATCTAGTGCTTTTATTTCTTTGTTTGCGTATCTTTTATCTTGTCTAGTATTTCGTGAGCGCGATCTGGAACGTCTAAAACGTAATTCCTTCCGATTAACAAATTCTATAAAACCTTGTTCGTCTACCTGAACTAAATTCTCTATAGGTTCTTGTTTAGGAGCCTCCTCCACATAAATCTGGACTTGCAGCGGAGGTTCTATATTTTGTTCTGGTTTAGGAAATTCTCTTTGTTCTCTTTGTTCGAGATTAATAATATCATTACCTTCCGATGATTCTATAGATTTTTTACCAACTATTGTAGCCCATGTATTTTCTGATTTTACATATGTTTCATTATCTTTCGTATTGATTGAATCAATAGAGATAGTCGAAACAGCCATTGTTTCTTTTTCCACTTCTTCTACCCAAGGAATTGATTCTTCTTGGGAACTGAGGTTTGCGATAACTGTTTTATAATCAGAAGACTGTACTATCATTTCATCTTGTTTGTTATCTTGTTCTAATGGACTTTGTAATTCTTCTGTAATAAAATCTTCATGCATTTCATTTGAAATGGATGTTTTTACATTAATCGCCGAATAATCTGTCTTTAATGGAATAGTTTTTACTGAGTACGTTTCTTCTTGAGAAATCTGAGGAGAAGTTCTTCGGGAGGAAGCTGTAACTTGTGCGTAAGATTTATTACTTTCTTTAAGCTGTTTCAAGAGTTCTGTGGATTTCTCCTCGATCGGTTTGATTTCATCCACTATTGCTTTTAATTCTTCAATGTCATTTTGCTTTTCTAATAAAGGTAAGTGCGTTGTGAGTGTTTCTTCTTTTGATGGAATTTCGCATGAATCATATTCAATCGGTGCTTCTTTTACAACATTTGTGACATTATCATTTGTATCTTGAATAATAGCGGATGTTTGAATGTTTAAAAAGTCATCTTTCATAGTAACAGTTGTCTCTGTTGTACCTTTTTTACCAACAATTGCTGCCCATGATTTAGCATTCGGATTTAATCGACTGTCATATTTAGGCATGTCATCCTTTGATTCTTGTTTTTGGTTTTCCACAATTGATGATGTTTCAAATGTGACATCGGATTCTGCCGCTTTAGAGAGAACAATACTGTCATCTTTATTTAAGTTATCCTCACATTTCACCAATGCTGATTTCTCTTTAAGAATAATTTCAGATCTCTGATTTTGTTTTTTGGATTTTTTGGATTTCGGCTTACGTTCTTCACGTTTCTCACACTCTTCTTTATCTTTGTGCGATTCAACCTGTTGTTTGTCTATTATCAAAGATTTCTCTGTTTCTTTTGTTTTACAATCACTTTTATTTTCCAGTTTATGTTCTTCTAAATTACTTTGTAAATCGTCTGATAAATCGTCTTTAATGATGTCTGTTTTAATGTTGTCACTCTGCTTGTTTGCAGTTTTAGCCTTCGCTTGATCTTTAGTTTTTGTGACTTTAGCATGTTTTAATTCTTTCTTTTTCCTTGGTTGATTTTTTGTTTTATCGTTTTGTTTTTCATTCGTAACCGTTTCATTTTTAATATCTTTTATGTTAGTATGATATTCATCTTTTACAGCAATTTCTGTTAGGGACGTATCATTTAAAATTTCAGTTTTTTGTTCTTTAATCTCAATATTTTCTTCTTCATGTTTCTCAATTACATTTTTCTCTTTAATTTCTTCTGGTTTTTCAATTATTGTTTCTTTTTCAATTTTTTGTTGTTCTTCAATAATTGATTCTTTCTTCTGTTCTACTGTGGCTTCTTGTTTTTCAATTATTGATTTTTTCTTTTTTATTTCTTTTTCTTCGATTTCTTGTTTAGTTTTTGCTTTTTTTATTTCAATGTCTTCTTCTCTTTTTTTAATTTGGCTATCTTTTATTGTTTCCAATTCATCGAAATCATCATCAATTGTTATTTCTTCCTCAAGAAGAGCCATCCAAGCATCATCAGATTCTAGATGTACAGATGATATCTTTGTTGGTTTTTCTTTAATTTCTTGATCGGTTTCAATATTATTTTTTATATCGGTTTTGTTTTCTTGAATATTTGTATCTATTATTATTTCTGCATCTGTTAACTGATTATTACTGATTTTTTCGGTAGATGGTTCAACGGAGACATTTAATTCTATAACTGATTGTAGTATTGAATCATTAGTAATACTAATTAAATCTTTTACATTATTATTAAATAGCGTATTATTAGCAGATGTGCTAACTAAAGTTATAGTTGGTTCTCGAATCTCTTCAATTGATTCTATGCACGATGGAATTTCTACAACTTCAGAAATATTTTCGGATAATCGTTTTTCTTGTATCTGTATTTCATTTGTTCGATATTGGTTTTCAATATCTATCAATTTTGTATCTACCGTTTCATCAATTGTATTTTCTTCTGAATTAAATGTATCATCAAAATCGTCTTCAATCATCATTGGTTCATCTAAAATACTCATCCAAGAATCGTCTGAAACTAAATGTACAGATTGTTGTAAATCTTTCGATTTTTTATCTTTATCTTCACTATCATTTGTTTCGATTGTTTCAAGTTTCTCTACAATCGCAATTGTATCCTTTGTAAAGTCAGACACTACATTTATAGCTTCCTTTTCATTAACAATTTGTTTCTCTCTTTCTATTGCAGTTTTTACAGATACTTGAGAGTCATCAGAAGAAATAGATACGGATTTTTCAGGCATGAATTTCATTTTAATCCATTGCGATTCAAATTCGTAAAAACTGGTGATCGGATATTTTGGCGCTTCTACGATAAAAGCATGTCTTCTATAATTGCTTTCATTCATTTCTTGGTTCGATGATTTAACATCGATCGGTTTCATTATCGAATCTTGTACAATTCTTTCTATGCTTTCTGATCTTGTAAGAACTGTAACAGCAGGTTGTACTTTTTTTACTGTTTTAACAACTTTAAAGTAACGGTGAAAATTACTTTCTGCATGATTGTAAGCATGGCGGTCCATCGCATAAGGTTTAATAAGATCTAATAAATGTTCAGGCACTATTTCCTTCTTTATTTTCGAACTTTCAGGTATTTCTTTACTCTTTACTTTTCTGATTGTGTGTTCACTTTCGCATTCCTTTGTAAATTCTGTTTTTCTATCTACCTTTTCCTGAATATTATTAGTTATTGTATTAGCAACATTGACTTCATTTTCATTTGTACATTTATCGTTCTCAATTAAAATATTTGAATCAGCTTGACTAGTTTCACTTAATATATTATAATTATTTTTATCTGAATTATCAATATTTTGGTCTTCTATAATATTATCATTTTGTGTCAAAATAGTATCAACAGCAATATTTTCTGATGTTGTTATAACTGTATTCTCCTTTTCATTCTCTCGTTTTTCTTCAGAAATTTCTACCTTTAATTGATTTTCCAATCCTTCTATATCATTTAATTGAGTAATAATTTCTCCTTTCTCCTTTTTGGGTGAAGTCATTGGCGGGGACTTATTTGACATATCGCGATTTTCTGGAGTGCTCGAACAAACCCTTCTCCTATCTTGCACGCTACCGAATAGGATCATTTCGTCGGATATCACATTGCTTTCGGTGGAAATCGCGGAAGTTAAACCTACTTTTTGAGAAATCGCTGCCTGATCCGATTGCATACTAACGAGAGAATCATTTGGTACCCTAGCGTAAGTAGTAGTAAGACTAGCCTCTACAGTTTCAGGACGCAAAGTGATTAACTCAATAACTTTGGAACCTACAATTTTGGGAAGGGGTATGTTTTCTATTATTTCTACCGATTTAACGGACTTGACATCGGGTGGCTTGACCTTTACCGATCCTGGAACGCTGGTGGTAGTCGTTACGGTAGTAATCATTTTTTCTATAATCAAAGCCTTCCCTATCGAAGACGGTTGTTCGGATTCTAAATTATTATGTGTTTCATTTATGTATTTTTTATATACTTGAGCTTTGTTGACCGAATCACTTGAAACTTTAGAATCAAATTCAGTTTCAGTTTCATTTTTATTCGATGATTCTTGTGTCTTTTCGTTATCAACATTATCAATTTTCGGAAGAGATTGATTTGTAAACTTTGAGGTTTCTTCTTTCTTCGTTGAATCATGCTTGAAAACGATTTCTTCTTGGAACTTATCGTAAAAAGATTGTTTCGTTTGTTCAGCTGCATGCTTAGGAGACAGGTGTTCTTTTTTCTTCGTACGTTTCGACATTTTTTCCTTGGATGCAATATCTTTCGATTTTTTAATATCCTCTGTTAGTAGAGAATTTTTATCGTTTATATCAGTCTTAATATCTTCGTTTTCAATCATTGTTTCTTTATGGTGATCAAATTTCCCATTTTTAATATTCCGATATTTTTCTTCTATGTCCGAAACGATATTACTTATTTCTGAAGAAACTTCAGATTCTTCAGGGAGTGTTTCTGTAGTAGAAATAATTTCGACATTCTTAGTTATTATAGTAGGTTTAGCCAAATCCGTCTCAGATACTGTAGATTTTTCAGTTGATATATTAACTTGGCCGAATACTATATCTTCTTCCTTGTCTATTTTAACGCCATGATTATTTTCAGTGTCTGTTTTTGATTGAAAAAGGCAGCTGTTATCAAGTACTGATACATGTTGCTCAGTCACATTTGTTTTTTCCGAAAATTGCTCTTGAATGATAGTTTCTTTTGAAGGTGCAATTAAAAATTCGATATTAAGTTCATCTTCCTTTTTATCAATTTTATTTTCGACATGCTGCGGTATTTCAGTACGATTTTCTTTTCTTGTATCTTGAACATTAGACTTTGTTTTTTCGGATTTTTTCTGTTTCGTTGTTTTTATCTGACATTTCTCTACTTCTGGTTTTTTAGTTTTTTCAATTACTTTTGTATTATTAATTTCTTCTTTCTCATCCATTGTATCGATCTCTAAATTTTCTGCCGTGAAACTTTCAACTTCTAATTCAGCGTTTGTTTGATGCTCTGTTTCTTTACTTTCTTTAACTCTAGCTGAATCATATGTTTTATCATTTTTATCAATTTGTACAATTTCCTGTGCTGTTTGTTGAACTGTTTCAGGCAATAATATTTCTTTTGTAGTTTCTTGAACTACTGTTGCTTCTGCAATTTTAGCTGCATCGATCATTTGTTCTGATTTTGAAACGACATATTTTTCTGTACCGTTTACATTTATTTTAATTTCATCCAAAACTTTGCTTGTTGAAATTATAGATGACGGATCAATTATGGCCTCAGATTTTATTTTATTCTTAGAAACTTTGTCTTTTTTTCGAGGATTGGTTTTATTTTTTTTGCTTTCATTTATATCGCTAGCAATTTTTGTAATATTAAGCGTCTTTGATTCGGAATCTTTTATTTCAATATCAGTTAGTGGTTTAATTGATTTCAAAGATTTGTCCTCAATTATTTCTTTAATACTGATTTCAAGCTTTTCTTGATTTATATTACTATTTTCAGCTTCCAATTTTATCTCTTTTGACTTTGTCTTATTCTTTTCTTTTTTTGAAGCATCTTTATGTTTTTTATTTTCAATTTTTGTAGACGTATTTGTTTTTTCATTTATATCTTCCAATTCGATTTTTTGAGTAACTAATAATTTTACATCTTTTGTTACATTATTTTCATCGACTATATTTATTTTATCCTTTTTGTTATTACTTAGAACATCCGATTGATACTGCATTTTATTTTCTGAAGCCTCTCTGTTTTGTTCTTTGATTTTTGTATCTTTATCAATTTTGTTCTTACATTTCGTTACATTGTCGAGTTTGTTAGAATTAATGTGACTATTGTTGTCAAGTTGCAATTCTTTCGACATTTCCTTGGTAATATCTTTTTGGACTTTCTCTTCATTTTTGGAATCTGAGATTTTTGCATCCTTCGTATCTTTTTTATCTTCCACGTCATCTTTTAAAATATTTTTATCGTTTGCTTTGATTTCACTTGGTAACATGGCATGTTCCATAAATATAGTTTCTTTTGTTCTTGTTGCTTCTTTAGATTTTTTTGATTTCCTGGACTTTTCATCAGATTTGCTTTGTCTTTCATCGTTATGTTGTTCTATCGTCTCATTAACAGAATCTCGAGATTTGATTTCCTTATTCTGCTCTTTAAGTTTGTCTTTCTGAGATCTTATTTTTTGTTTATCCATATCCTCAATTTCTTTAAGAGCTTTGTCAATTTCGTCTCCCACTGATTTATCTATTTTCTTTTTCTTTTGTCTTCGTTTCTTTTCTTGCGATGGATTTGTATCTAAATCAATTGCTGACTGTTCTTGCTGCACTTTTTCCTCTTTTTGCATTGGCCTATCGCTGATTTTATCGAGAAACGATTCATCTTGCATTTCCAATTTTTTCGGCGGAGTTAATTTTTCGTTCTTTTGTTTTTCCTTTGATTTATCGATAGGCTTTCGAGATTTTTTCTCATCCGTCTGTTTAATTTTGTCGTTCGAGTGCTGATACCTCTTCCTGACCTCCCGTTTCTTCATCGTGTCCCAATCGTTTTCTTTGGATTGTTTAGATTGCTCATCAGATGTAACCGCGAATGATGGCGATTCTTGTTTGAATTTCGGTTCCTGCAATGGTGACAATTCGCGAGATGGTAACTCGAGTGATTCTTTTGGCGAATCGGAACGTTCTTTACTTTGATAATTCGCGGCTGTAGATTCACTAACGATGCGTGTCGAAGTAACACGTGGACTGAGTCCATGCGAAAGTATTTGCGCGTACGAAAAGGTTTGCCCTTTTTCCATATTATTCAATGATGACGTATTCCTTCCTTCTGTTTTATTCGTTGTAGAAGTTTCTACATTTGAGATATTCATAGATTTTTGCTGTTCAGGCTTATCGATAAGTTCAGTCGCACTCACGTCTTTAGGAACTTCAGATTGTCTAATTATTGGCACCTCAACAGGTTTTTCCATCACTATCGCAGTTGTATGTCTCATATCATTAACGGGTTGCTGCATCGGAGTCTGCTGATAAATGTCCGATGCCGAAAGATATGCGGTTGGTGCAACGTAATGTTCTGGCGCGTAAGCTAAGGAACTATTATCATAAGGATTCAAGTTTATTTGATCGAGTTGTTGTACTTGCTGATGATGACCGGACGGCGCGTAAACGTACGAACTTACTGGATACGTTCCAAGATGAGACCCGATGAAACCTACCAATTCCGGCATCGTCTCCGGTATCATATAGTCATAGATCTCTGTCGGTTGCTGTTGTGGCACATTCTCATAAGATTTCACATGTTGCAATACATTGTAATCTTGCAAGGACTCATCAGTCCAATTAGTCGGTTCAGATTCAGTGTAATTTTGATCCTCTGTTTTCTCCGTTTCAGGTTGAGAGTAAGTCTCTACGATTTGCATATTTTCCGCCTGTATTTCTTGCGTCGGTACAATTTGCTGGATCTCTGTGACTTGTTGAGACTTTTTAGCATTTGTCATATCTTGTTCCGTGACTTCTTCCACGCGAGGAACTTCCATTCGACTCCGTCGAGATTCTTCGGATAAAGAAACCATTTTTTGTCTGGGTGGTTGCGCAGGAGGAGTAATCTGCGTTGTCTGTATACATCCACGAAGGATATCAGCGTAGGAAGTAGAACCGGGAACCCACATGGGACTGGGCGAACGTCCTCTTCGTTCTTCACATGGTGCTAAAGAGTTCTTCGCGGGCTCCGTTTGCGTTTCTTCCCTGGAATTCACGCCAGATTCAAGATTATCACATTTGTCGATTTCTCCTTCTTGATCCGCTATTATTTTGGGGTTTTTCACTTTGGATGAGCTTGTCTTGCGTGTAGGTGATCGTCCTCGACGTGGCATGGATAATTCGACTTCTGATACAGCTTGCTGACATTCTTCCGCACCGATTGTGTTTCGATCATCTGTTGTTGGCACGCGTGTTTCGGTTTGTAATTGCGATTTTGATTTATTTATGTTCGTGTCATTTTTATGAATTTGCATCTTTGAGATTTGTGCCTCGTCCAACGAAAGAGGATGTTCCGTAGTCAACTTTTGAGTTTGCATAACCGTGGGTCGTAATACTTGTGCGGTCACGGTAGGAGGAGTGACTTCTCGTTGTCTATATGGACTACAGTTTCTCGAGCTTGGACTATTGGTACGTCCTGCTGCAATATCGGCATACGAGGCTTGGCCTATGAACCGGTACTCGTTGGTGGGTATGTAGTATGGATCCACCTCGTGTATCTGATCCACCAATGTCTTGCTGCGTTGCTTCCAATCCTCCATCCGTTGTTGCAGGCTCTGCTTTATCCACCGCGGAAGGTCAGCCAAGGCACAGCAATGGAATACATATACTATGTCAATTTTGAGGAGTCTCTTTACATTCATCGAGGGATAGGGAGCGATATTATTTTTAAAGCCAAGGTTTTCATTTGAGCAAATCACATTAGAATATATCGAAAACTTCTTTGTGTACGTAAGTAAAATGAGTGGATTTCGTGAATGAATGTACTTGAACATTAATTGACAGTAAACGAGTTTTTTATTTTTCCTTATTCAATCACATCGTATAGCTATTTAAGCACAGATATTTAGGTCAAGAGACGCGCGCTCATACATGGTAATATAATCGCGTCTATAATCTCGTAGAGTGATATCTATTAAAAAATCAGTGCTCGATAAAAATTTACTTAGAAAAATTACGTGGTACTAAACTAAGTCGTTTGATCTTATCAAAAAAACATTGACGACGAAAGTGAGAGTAGATTTCATTTTGTATCTGTTCTATCTCGCCTTTATCGTTAATGTTTCCTTCGATTAGGTTTTGTATATTTAATTTGAGATGCGGCGGCTATCATCGTCGTTTATTCATCGATAATAACGAGTAAAAATTATATAGAATCGAAAACAAAGAAGATAATGAATGAAGAAGATCATGAAATGAATAAACGAAGATAACAACGATGAGAACCGGATTCGTTCAACGGGGGTAGGTCTCTATTGTCATGGATCCAAGGGCTCTAAGTCTGGTGTGCCTCGCTGTACGAGTAGTTTAGATCTCTCGGTGCGCGCCTGGATTTTACTTTGTAAGGATTTGATTTTTTCGCGATAAATCTAACCGCATACAGAATTGTAAATCGAGAGCATTAACACGTCGAACGAGCGAGAGGGACGGAATGAGAGTAGTGAGATCATGAGGATTTTAATAATGAAGCAGACATTAAGTAAGAAGGAAAAGCGCAGAGTATGAAAAAATTATGAATAATGAGTGAAATGGTAACGATTTCGATAACAACGTAAACGTAAACGATAATGATCGCAAAGGAAGATTGAAATACAATAACGACGGAAATAGCGGAATAGTGACAGATAAAGAAGCACAGGTAATCCACCAGGTAAAAAGATTGGAAATGATAAAGGTATAAAGGAACAAGGAATACATCAAAGAAAAATTCATAAATGAAACAACTGGTAAAGAAATGAATGCGATGAAAATAAGAAAAAAATAGATATAATAAATAAACGAAAATTAAAGCATATTGTAAGAAAATAATTGTAGCATTCTATTTGTGTGTCTCGCATGATCTCGACACGCGTTTTGACATTGGAGGTCACTTGATTTTCCTGTGGCTTTTACAGCTATATGATTGTTTGTCTGAATTACGAAAGTCTAAAATCCAAAGATCACGTAAGGGATGCATACGTGTGAAACGGTGCATGACACGCTTTACGTGAATGTGCGGCAGTACTTCGCGTTTTGCTACGTGGTCTTTCATTCTAGAACGTAAGGCATATGTGCGTG